ATACAGTACATGTAGCATGTGTGTTGCTCACTATTATTTATTATTAGACTTACAAAATTCGTTTCAGTGATGCCATATTGTTATTTCATTTGAACGGCATAGCACGTTGCTTTCCAACTGTACTCGTAAGCTATTTAATTTGTTTATTACCCAAATGTTTCCGCGAACTGGCAGTTTTTAGTTTAAAAAGGTGCAAAATGCAGAATCATCCAGCATCCCCTTAACGCACGCGACGCGTCTGTCTGTTGCAGGAATATTCGCAAGAGGCGGTGTCTCACGTGCACAAGTATCTCATGAAAAATGAAGTCCCAGTTAACTTGTTCGAGGTAGGTCATTGTCTCGTGGCCTTCTCCATCCGCGATTGCGCGCACGTGATCGATTTATTGCTCGTGACTCACGAAACTTTTTCCCCCCCCGTTTTTCTGCCCGTAGCCGTACATCGAGGAGATATTCAACCATCTGCGCGGGGAGCCGTTTCAGAAATTCCTGGAAAGGTACTAAATGACATCCCCGAGTACGCGAATAAACCGAGCCTGGTGTAGTTTGTGATTTAAAGAACAAAAAAACTTGTGTATGTTTCTAGCGATAAGTATACCCGTTTCTGCCAGTGGAAAAACTTGGAGCTGAACATCCAGGTACAGATAAGTTAATACCCTAATCCCGCCTTCCTCCGCCCTTTTCGAGGACGGAATTTTCGAGATTAAATTATCGCGCGTTTTATAACGGAAATTGCAGCTGACGATGAACGACTTCAGCGTGCATCGAATAATAGGCAGGGGCGGCTTCGGCGAGGTGTACGGTTGCCGGAAAGCGGACACTGGCAAGATGTACGCCATGAAATGCCTGGATAAGAAGCGCATCAAGATGAAGCAGGGCGAAACGTTAGCTCTCAACGAGAGGATAATGCTCTCGCTAGTCAGTACCGGGGTAAGGAACTTGGGTTTTTTATTTTTCCTTTCCTCCTTTGTCGAAAAAAAAAAAACGAGCGCTCTCGCGTTGAATCACGGCGACGCGAACGGTGACGTGATAAAGCGTTGTCACCGCAGGTGGACTGCCCGTTCATAGTGTGCATGACGTATGCGTTTCACACCGCCGACAAGCTGTGCTTCATATTGGATCTGATGAACGGCGGCGACCTGCATTACCACCTAAACCAACACGGGGTCTTCAACGAGCCGGAAGTCAAGTTCTACGCCGCGGAAATGATCCTCGGCCTCGAGCACATGCACCGCAGGTACATCGTCTACCGCGATCTGAAGCCCGCGAACATACTGCTGGACGAGCACGGCCACGTCAGGATATCGGATCTGGGATTGGCATGTGATTTCTCAAAGAAGAAGCCGCACGCGAGTGTGTACGTATACACGGCCAAAGTCCGATCGAAGCTTTTCGCCCTGTAACGCAACGGCCTGAACTTGTTCTTCTTGCAACAGCGGCACGCACGGATATATGGCGCCGGAGGTACTCTCGAAGAACACCCCGTACGACTCGAGCGCGGATTGGTTCTCCTTCGGTTGCGTGCTGTACAAGCTCTTGATAGGACGCAGTCCGTTCAGGCAGCAAAACACCAAGGACAAACACGAGATAGACCGTATGACGCTAACCATGGTGCGTTGTTAAGATTCCCGGTCGTTCGCTGCAATCAAACTGTGACGCGTCATAAGCGAAGATTTACACGTGTCTTTTTGTGCGTTCAAGTGAATTGTATCTTTTTACACGTCACTTGTGTCCGATAAAATAAATCTGTGAATTAGCAGACAACTGTAAATCTTGCCTCGATCTCTGTAAGATTTTATTCTGCGGAAAAGCAAGGCGTAAATTGCACTTTGATTGTCTTTTGTTTATTAGCGAGAGAACCATTAAAAACTAATTTATCTTTGTGCACAGAGCGTGAAAAGAGCGATGTAACTTTTCGCTTCTGCTGTCGCAGTCTGACGCGGTCGAAAGACTCCAAGCGTTTCACGGAGATCTCTCGAGAACTCGTACACGTGAGGATTCAGTTTAATTCTTTTAATCAATTGCAGAACGTCGGAATACCGGAGACATTCTCGCGGGAGTTGCAGTCGCTGTTGGAAGGTTTGCTACAGCGGGACATCAACAACAGACTCGGCTGCCGTGGCAACGGCGCGGACGAGTTAAAGGCGCACCCGTTTTTCAATGGTATCGATTGGCAGCAGGTGTACCTGCTAAAGTACACGCCGCCGTTGATACCGCCGCGCGGCGAGGTCAACGCCGCGGACGCCTTCGACATCGGCTCCTTCGACGAGGAGGACACGAAGGGGATCAAGCTGACGGAGGCGGATCAAGATTTGTACAAAAACTTTCCTCTAGTCATCTCCGAAAGATGGCAGACTGAAGTGGCCGAGACTGTGTTCGAGACAATCAATAACGAAGCGGACAAGGTAAAATAAATATTTCACTTAATTGCCCGTAATAACTTGATGATTATCGGGCCTTTATTAATCTGAGGATCTCGCTTTGTTCCGTCCTCGTAGTTGGAGAATAAAAAGAAGGCGAAGCAAAAACAACGGTTCGACACAGATGAGAAGGGTAAGCGCGTCGCGTATCGCGTGGATATTCTATCCGGATGGAGCCGTAATCAGAATCGATTGTTTATTCTTGCAGGTTCGGACTGTATATTACACGGTTATATAAAGAAATTAGGCGGTCCATTTGCGAGCGCATGGCAGACGCGCTACGCGAAACTATATCCGAATCGGTTAGAGTTACATCCGGAATCAGCGACTAAACCTGAGCTCGTGTTTCTCGATCAAGTAAGTAACATTGAATACCGTGGGTGACAGAGTACATTAACATTTTCGCAGCCGGCGATTCCAGCGTGCGACCTAAAACTGGGAGCCACGTGCAGTTTACAAAAATTTGAGACTGATCGCCACAGGGCGCTGGCATTAAAATGAGAATAAAAATAGAAAAAAAATTGTTTTAACAATATCACGCTTGTAACCACTTGTAAATACGAATCACAAAGGCGTCTGTTTCCCTATAAATATGAAATGACGTAAAATTACATCAGTAGCGACCAGCTACGAATTTTAAAACGACGTGAAACTACGTCAGCGGTTGTGAATGTGTTAAAGGAGATAAAAAAAATTAAGCCGTGATATTTTCAGAATATATAATGTTATATCGATCCTGTTACTTGATATGTGATATGATACATTTCACGTTTCACCTCATTCGAGAAAAAGGGTACCTTGCATTGTGCGATGCGAAACATTTTCAGGTCGAGGAAGTAGGGGCGGATCTACAGCTCGTAAAGGGGGAACAGTGCATCGTAATGCGTACGAGGGACGCGAAGATCGTACTTACAAATGCCGTAAGTGAATCCATTTCAGTATCTCTATTGATGTTACTTTGCGATAAAACGCAACCATTAGAATCAAGTGATTTTAAACGCGTGACCTAACTGTTAAAATAGTTAAAAGTGAAAACTTTCGAGTTTCAATGTCGGATAATTCATATCAGTTTGAACATTAGCGAAAACAATTAATGAGGTATAGAATTTCGAGAAATCGAAAAGATTGAAGCTTCTCAAGCAGGGATTTCAACTCGTATCCGATCATTGAAAAGTTAGAGCGTTAAGTCTCGAGCGCTACTAATAATTGACTTACCGTAGGACGAGATCAGCTTGAAGGAATGGGCGCTCTCGTTAAGATCGGCACACAAATGCTCAATGGAGATGCTCGGGAACATGGCGAGGAAAGCAGGCAAGATCTACGGGACTGAGCGGGACGCAGTAATCCCGGCGACGCAGCGATCCACGAACGGCAACTAGCCCACTGTCGTCATGTGCGACATCGCACCGTCATACTCCAGTCCCACTGCCCCGCAGCAGCAACAGCAGCAACAACTTTTTTTATACTAAACGGATGATGGGGAGAGCAGCGACGGATAGGAAAGAAAGGATTCGACAGAAGAGAACAAGAAACGTTTCTCGGAGTGGCAACGCAGGTAGTGCCTCTTTCCTTCCGAAAGCTCACTCTGGACTTTAACGCCGCGGCGTTAAAAAAAAGCGGATAAATCCCTGTTTTGGCACACCTCGATCAAACGGAACGTCCTAAAGAAAATTTCGTTATACGGCGGATAGCGCTGCGCTGTGTATTATAGAGACTCTAGCCAAGTAGTGTCGTATCGTGCGTACGTTCTCCCAGGGCCACGAGGATGATGCACGCGCGCCCATACACACACGTACACACGTTTACATACACGTATACGCGCAAAAGGAAACATACGTACACGTAAAGTAATCGCGGCTCCTTCTGGTCACTGGCGCGGGCGCGTAGGCATCTCGTTATATTTGTACATTAGTTGTATGTGCAACATGTGACGTAGCGACTAGCGACCGACCGAGCGACGAACAAAAGTTGAACAGATAACACACGGGAACCACAAAACACATCCGGTAGTGTATTATTATGACCTAGTACTCTCTACGCGATCCCGTACTCTTATTACTTTTTACGCGTTCGTCGTACCGCTCGTTTACTTAATTTATTTACTACTGCAGAAAGAGAGAGAGAAAAAGAGCGAGACCAGTTTTATATTATCCTTATGATGAAACAAAAGTGACTCATTATTTATTGTGTTATTAAGTGCGAGAGAATGAGAAGAAAAAAAAAGAAAAATCGTTTGTATATTAACCAAAAGTGAATCGAATACCGAATGCATGCAACATATGTACGCTCGAGTGGATATACGCAAAGTCCGCTCCGGCAATAAAATATGCGATGAACGTAGATGAGAAGAGCTTTCTTTCGTCCTGCATCATGTATCAGTAGAGCAACAGCTAAAGTCCAGTAAGTATTTGTGATCTCCATTACATTATGTTCGAAACAGTCGGTAATCTTTACGTAATCGTGATTGATGTGCGAAATTAACAAATGTTCGATTTAAACAGTTGTACGAGAAAAGAATTACATATCAATGTCACGAATGAATTGGTCCATTTTTTATACCGTAACAATTGGAATTTGGTACATTTATGAAAGGTAGAGTTTATTTCGATAATCACGTTTGTTGGTCAAATAACAATAGCAAGTATCCTGTAATAGTTTTCATTCGTGATTTATAAATGAATCCAATACTCATAATTTATGTACGCGTGTTTGCTTCAAGTACCAAACTATTTACTATCTGCTGCGCACTTTTCGTCGAGATATACATATATATACATATATATATAGGGATCGTTTGTAGAACCGTGAAAAAGTTTTATTTTCTAGGCTTACATCATACAATTATAACGTATTAAATTCATCGTAAGATTTACACGATACGAACATTATAATTAGCGATCACTGTGATAAAAGAGAGTATGTATAATAAGAAACGTTATATTTTATCTGTCACGAATCTCCTTCAACAATAACGCCAGCGTGGAATCCACCGACCCGCTTGACTTGAGTCTCCGTTCCAGAGCTTCGAAGTCCGTTCTCTCGAGCCACGTCGGCGGATCGCTCTCCCTCGACGGCAGAGGACACAGCAGCCTCTCGACGGCGGCGCACAATCCGCACCACTCCCTGAATCCCAGTGGTTGCGTCACGTCTCCTATCACAGACTTCATATAAGATCGCTGTTGGTCCGTCAATGCCTTCCCGACCACTTCCCGAAGAGCCTCTTCGACGTCGCTCGGTGAAATGCGTCGCGCGCTGTGCAACGCCTCCTCGTTGAATCTATTAAATATTCGACCGAATATCAGTTTTCTTCCCGACGTGACGTACACGTGCTTGCTGAGGTACTGGAGCGCCGTTAGTCCTGCAACGATTACGTCGTGAATGAATTCCAATCGACGAGATAAAGCAGATAAAACAATACGGCGTGTGTACACGCAGGGGAGACCGGTTGTTACAAGAGGCAAGTTGTTACAGTGAGTTTCCAAAAATTCAATACTTAAGAGCTCTTAATATACACCTTCTCATTACATGGAAAGCTGAATACTACAGGTGCAATAGGAAAACAAAAAAAATCCTAAACTGAAATTGTAACAACTAGCCGGCCTCCCCTGCACACATATAGGTTCTACAATACAAAAGGAAATAGCCCTGTAAGCAACAACTAACGGTTGCACAACGTCAATTATAATTTCCCACTCAACAATGTAACTGTTGTGCGCACAACGTGCGTTCCGTTACATTTACAATGTTGATGTTACGTAACTGGTTAATTGATGTTTACTGGAAAACAGCTCGCAGGAGCGTCTCGCCTGATATCTTTTACTCGTTTTAATCACAATCATCTTGAAATATCGATTCACATTCATATATGTCGTACGGCGTAACAATACAATACGCATAAACGTACCGCGAAGGCTCTGACTGTCGAGCAGCTCAAAGCGCGCCGCTTGACGGGAGAATATCCGGGGCGCGTTTTCCGCCGACGGGCCGGCACTGGTTTGACGAGATCCGCGCAGAGCCGAGTACGTGTCGCCTTTCACCCGTAGCGCTTCCTCTAAGGCGATCCGTCTCTAAAACGGGCCGTAAGGAAAATTTTCAATCGGCTGACGATTTTGTTTTTCTTTTAGATCCGCCTGTTTACCTTGGTCGAGAATTCCGCCTCCACCTTGTCGCGATCCAGCTCTCTGCACAGGTGCTTCAGGACGTCCGGCGCGAGGAAGCTCGGCGGCATCGTGTGACCCGCCGTCTGCGCGGACGTTCTCTTGGGGGACGTCGAGCCGTCGACCTCCCCGGCTGTGTTTACGCGGAGCCTGTCACGGTTCATTAAAGAGAAACTTTTTTTTAATCCCCCAATCGAACACTCCTGTCGCAGCGTGTAAATAAACGCAGGCTAATCGTAGCGTGCGGATGCATTATTTTTATTTTAATTTTTTTAGTAGATACTAACGACGATCGCCGCGATCCGTTCTCGATCTGCGAGACCTGCGTCACCGTGGGCTCGAGCGGATCGCGAACTTCCGTTTGCTGGCCGTAAGTCGAGGAGCCCCTCCTACACTTTCTTTTATGCAACCGCTTTCCCCGTCTTCGTGTAATTGCCGGTTGCCGCTCGCTGCCGCTGTCGGCCTCTTCCTCCGCGTGCCGAGACGAGCTCTTTCACCGATAAGCGACGGTAACGTCATTTCTCAAGTGACGGAAAAGCGTCCCCCGCGGACGAGAAAAAGAATAGACTTACCGTCTCGCATTTTTCAGCGACGGGCGAGGGTGGCGACGGAGGAGGCGGCACGGGCGCCGCTGACGAGTGCTGCGCTCGCGGGATCGGCTTGCAGACGAATATCTCGCTTTTCCGCGGCGTGGGCGGCAGCTCGAGAGTAAGAGCGTGCCAGCTGAAAGTCTCGCTTTCCTGAAACCCGAGCAAACTGCCGATAACACCTTGGCGAACGGACGTCTCGACCCTAGTAGCGCAGTGCATTGACCAAGCATTGATTAAACATTGACCCAACATTTGTATTGGGCCAATGTTCAGCCAGTGCACTGTGCTATTAGGCAAGTAGAAAAAATAAATTGCCGCTTCCGGCTTGATCGCCGTTTCTACACACTGGCTACGTTCAGCAGAAAGAGCAGCTCTTTCTGCTGAACGTAGCCAGTGTGTAGAAACGCTTCAAGTCTACAATGTAGAGGAGCCCTCTATTATGGGATAGGCTCCTAATACGAGATAGCGGGGTTCCTGCTAAATTAATAGGCATCGTCGGTTGGTTCCACCATGAATATACTGCTCTTGGAGTGAAGTCTGTTTAGTGGAAAATTGATTGTTACATCGTGTAATCGTTGCGAAAAAAAGATTTGTCACTGAATTTGGACGTTGAAAACCTACTATCTCATAATAGAGGACTTTCCTCTGTTTCTTGCAATTAGAACGTTCTAGTTTGCATAAGCAGGTCAATGCGCTTAAAACATTTGCCGGCAGCGTTAGATTGTACGTTATGCAATATACAGTTTATCAACGTGCACAAATGCTTCAAATGTGGATATTCATTGGCTGTAAAACGGAATGTTTCTAGACGCAAAGAACACATTGTGGATTAGACTCGAGGCATCTTTTCAGTACGGCGGGATCTATAGAACGTCTGCTCGTAAACTGTCAATTGTTTTCGAAACAAGGTTCGATTATCTACAGCCCGCGGCGAGATGAAAAGTCCAGGTGACATCAATTTGATGTATCGATCAACATGTGACATAACTTTGGTCAATATAACATCAAGTTGACGTCATCTGGACTTTTCATCTCTCCCTGGCAGCATGCTGTTTCGTAAATTAGTCTGTTTATACTCTACGTTTGTCCTTGGTCGACGTTTCGATATTTCTTTGTCACGACAGTTTCAACTATTTTCTTTCGTATATCTTTGTCGGCGCTTTTGTAGTGGAGTTCTTAGCAAAAGCTGGCGTTATTTATCGTCACGTTGACGTCAAAATGACGCTTTTAACGACACCTCGACGTCAAAATGACGACAAATAACGTCAGCTCGCTCCCCGGGTTCTAAGCTGCGGCGATTACTATTCTTAGGTCGCTTTGTCGTTTCTCCTTTGATCAGGAGACTCGTCTCGGGGCGTGCGACACGCGAGTCCGCCCGCGACAAAGGCCGGAAGAAAGATGCCGGGTAGAAAGCGGCGGCAAATCGTCGGGGGCGGGTTCTGCATCTGACACCGACCACCTGCTGATTCCGCGAGCTCGCACGGAGATCCAGGACCAGGGTGGTGCGCTCGCGCGGATTGCAGGTCGCCGGCGGATCCTCCTGGGCCGCGCGGCCAGTTAACGCCGTTGGTCCGCTGGCGAGCGTGGGCGCCGGGGTCAAAGGTCGCGAATCGGTTTCCGTGTATTTCCGGAAGAGCTCCTCGGGCACCGCCGAGGCGGTCACCTCGGTATTGTAGCCATCGCCACCGCCGCCGCCACCTCCGACATTTCCAGCCGCGGCCTCGCCTCCGCCTCCGCCTGCGCCCACCGCTAACAGGCTCGTCCGTATCATCTCCATCTCCTCCGGCAGCAAAAGAGCTTTTCCCTCGGTCGCCTGATGAAAAATGTAGCGTGAAAGACGCGCGAATGTCGCGCTGGGTGACGAGCGCGTCGAAATTTGCGGGAGAGACGATGGGCGATTGAGCGAGTTTCCCTAATCTTCGCTAAACGGTTAACAATGGCTCAATTATTATCGCGTCACGGTACAAGGTGGACGGGACAGGTCCGCGTTTCTGCTGTGGCGAAATTTTATTCGCTGCAAAAAATATACTTAAATTTCTCGGGACAAGAATAAAACTCATACATTTAAACATGTACGAGACGCAGCGAACTCTACGTCTCGTGCCTTACGTAACTTGGCATATTATATATATTTTTTTTACGGCGTCACACCCGTCTTCTCCCCCCGTGCGCGGCGAATGAATTTTTTACCCATGTGTCCTTAGCGCGTCGAACCACCTCCTTCGCCTCGCAATCCGCCGGATGGTTGCACAGCACCGAGCAGCCGTACGGATAAGGATTGAAGAGGCCGGCGAACGGTCGAAGGGCGAACGGCGCAGCTCGGGTGCTGCCCGATAGTTGCACGCTCTGCGTATATATACACGTGATCTTTGAATAAATAAAGAGAAGGGCTGACGTAAAGGAAGCGGGGCGCACACGTGCGATGGCGCGGCCACCCCCGGTTTCGCTAATATTAGTCTTTTCGTCCGTCCTCACCTCGGGCTTCGATCTGCGAATCGGCCGAACCCGCGCGGACAGGAGGCCGGTCGCGCTCGCGATCCCGGACATCCCCAAATCGCCGCGGGTCGCGAGCTAATCTCTCGGCACCTTGCGCGCGAACGAGCCGCGCCGCGCTTCGTTACCGCCGTTTGTTACCGCCTTGATGCCCACATCGGCACGTTGCTACGCGTCACCGCGACGGGTCGATCGAGAACAAGCTCCTGCGGCTTGCACCCGTGGTTACGCGATCACGTACTCGCTCGTGTAGCACGAACCCCCGAGAAACGTCTTTGGGACGTCCCCGAGACGGCGCTTGGAAGTTTGCGCGGTATCCAGTACTTGGTCCTGGGCTGTCTTGTATTCTTAAGTCACAAGACAGTTATTATGCGTTACTTTAAGACCCGGTCTACAACGAGTCGTTAGTCAGAAGTCGGAACTATATGTCGGTCCTTTTTCTTCCACCCAGAAAGGAAAAGGATCAACATATAGTTGCGACTTCTGACTAACGACCAACGACTCGTTGTAGACCGGACCTAAGGCCTGGTCTACAATGAGTTGTTGGTCGTTAGTCAGAAGGTACAATTATGTATCAGGTGGCACTCGGGAATCAACATTAGACTGTTTATTGCGATGAGTATTGCCATGTGCCTCGGTGGTCGAATTGGTTGAGACGCCCGCCTAGCGAGAGGGAGGTGCAGGTTCAAACCCTGGCCGAGGTGATATTTTTTCGCAATAAACTTAGAATAGAATATTTAAACACTACCACCCTGTCACGGCTCTGAGTCCTTTAAATTCTTTGAAATTTGTGATTAATACATACGAGCCATACTAATTTATTTAATTACGTGTCAATCCTTTTTCTTTCTGGGTGAAAGAAAAAGGACCGACATATAGTTCCGACTAAGGCCCGGTCTACAATGAGTTGTTGGTCGTTAGTCAGAAGTCGGAACTATATGTTGATCCATCTCCTTTCTGGGTGGAAGAAAAAGGACCGACATATGATTCAGAACCTCACCGACAAACTTTGAGGAATGACCCAGATAACAATCCTTGCGCGCAAACTTTGCTTGTCTTATGCATACAAATTTGTACGAGATTTGCCTGAGTTTAGTCTGTGCTTTTGCACGCAAGTGGCTAGCTCATGTATTAACGTATAACTTAGCGCAAATATCTATCAACTCGCGTACAAAAATGGCTCAACAACGCAAGCAAAATTCTATCCAAGTGCGTCGTCATAGTGCCAGATGTTTGCGCGCAAAATGTTTTCTGGGGAGAGGTCTCGCAGAAAGGATCATTTTTTGTCGAGCAACCCATGTCCTGTGACGCGTCGTTTAGGCGCTACCGCGAAGGTTCTTAAAACGACCTTAAGGAGTTTTGTTTAACGAATTTATTGCATTTACAATCGATACAGTTTTCGCAACTTGTTTCCGTAGGGTGCAACAATGTCCATTTAGATCTTCATCTGCTCGTTCAGCCACGGATTCTCCTGTTTGTGCCCGGGGTACTTCTTCTTGTACTTGATTCCGGTCACGAGGGTGGAGCTCTGCGGGAACGCCGTTTTGCCGTTGAACATGGTGTCGGTGTCTGGCCGGGGGAGGAAAAGAACAGAACGTTATCGCGCGTTTAGGCTGCGTTCGGAAACATCAGCCGAGTGCCCTAGTGGTCAATTCTGTGTCTTAAAGTCAACAGTACACGATACTATTTTTCTCACTGGATCGCTTACGACAGCCAACAAGGATGCAGGTGACCTAAGGCTAAATCCTGAAGTAGAAAAAAATAGTATCGTGTGCCGTTGGCTTAAGGTGCAGAATTGACCGCTCGGGCACTCGGCTGATGTTTCCGATCGCAGCCTTAAACAGTCGCCGCTGTAAAAATCGGCGCGGCAGCTTGACGAATTCCGCGGGGCGCCTCACCCGGATGGAATCGGTGATAATCCTGTTGGATGTGCAAATTCTTGGGCAAATCTACTTTACGCAGCGCTTCGTACGGCGTCAGGCTGTCCACCGGTGTCGAGTAAAACCGCTTCAGGTCCCCTACGCACGCGGGATTCATACTTATTTATTGTCGATTGATCGATTCCGCGCGCGCGCGCGCTCGGGCTGATGCGAAAAGTTTCTCGCGTCATCGAGCCCCGTGTAAGAGCAAAAGTTGGAAACACCGAAGTCTGAAAAGGGGGATTGGAAGACGGATCTCCGAATAAATAAATATAAAAAAACCAACAAAAATGTGTCGGAGAGAGTTCGCCGATTTCGCCGCGAGATCTGTTTTCTCGATTGATAAATGCGACCTTTCGCGCTTGATAAATAACGAGAGGGGAAAAAAAACAAACTTCTCTCCTCGCTCACCGATGCTCTCGATGGTGCAGAGCAGCGAGTTCGGGATGGAGTGCTTGAATTCCCCCTCGCAGGCGACGAACAGCTCGAAGCGACGGGCGAGATCCTCGAGCCTCGCGTCGTCGTGCCGGGGGATGCTCCGGCTCTCGCAGATCCTGTCGATCCTCTCGGTCGCGTCCGCCGGCGGCTCGTAGGACTTGTACGGCCGCAGAAATCTGAAAGCAGGACATCCGCATTCGCGACTCGACCCGCGGCTCCTCTCCGCGCGATCGCGCCCGGTGCAATTCGCCGGTGTGGAGCAGCCGTCGAGTGATTCGAAGCGCCCCGTTACCTGTTGAAACGAAAACCGCGAGACGACAAGCAGGGCGGGGGAGAGAGGAGGGGGGGATGGGAAAAAATGTTCTCGTCGATTCGACGATTTCCCTCCCGCGGCGAACTTTTCTCGCGCGCGGTCCGGGAAGGATCGTTCTCGCCGTCTCTCTCGCGCGATGAAATTCGTCGTGACGCGCGAGAGGAAAGGACAAAGGTCCTGGGAGAGAGGGATGGGGAGGGGGGGGGGCCGCAGGAAGAGAGGGGACGAGATCGATGCCCGCTGGCCGTACGGGTGCTGCCATCGCGCGCGCGCGC